CGCTCAGAAGGAGCTCAGTGCTTCTGTGTTAATAGTTCCCGAGAGGCATAAACGCATAAAGGAATGAAGGAAATCGAACATACCTACAAATTTATACAAACAGATGTATCTACACAAGGGTGGGCCAAAATAGGTTAAGACGGAATTTTAATGCTCTATATCGAAAAGAATATACCCCTATTTTTTTTTTTGAAATAAAAAAAATATTTACAGGTCGCTCAAAGCGCTCAAAGTTTTCCCTGTATTTTGTATGAGAAAAAAAAAACTTTTCGTAGAAATGGTATGGAATTCTTGAAAATCAATATTTTTCGATCGGAAAACTCTGGTTCTCTTCAAAAGACTTCCAATAACAATACCCAAATGTGTATATAAACATTTTCACATGCATTTTTGGACCACCCTAATCTAAGCTGACCATTTCCAATATGCTGAAATGTAAACCTAAGTGAACGATACTTGGTGTAGAATTGAGGTTGGCTGTCACACAACTTCGCTTTTAGGGCTTAAGTCAACCCAATAAGTGGATTGCATTTAAGTTACCGAAAACGGACAAGGTGTACTCGCTTGATTCTGACAATATGTAGGGTATTATGATGATGCTGCTCAAATATGTGTCCGTCTAAGTGAATTTGTAAGGAGTGCAGTTGCGTAAAGCGAGCTGCTTAAAAGGGGATTTTGGAAGTTAGTTTGTAATTGATATGGGAACGTATGTATATATGTATGTAAGTATATTAACTTAAGGACTGCATCGAATAAAACTGTCCTTTACGAAATGACGATATTTATATTTTGAACCAGTTGTAAGGCTTTCAAAAGCTAAAGCATTTCAGTTTTAGAATAAACATCCAATTTACATCGAGCCCTAACCGCCCAAATAAGGTAGGCGACATTTTTTTCAAAATTTTCTTTTTGATGCAAAAAGCACCTAGATGCTCTAGGAATATTTCTGCATAAAAAAAATATATATATATATTTGAAAAAAAATGTCTCTTATATTATTTTGGTTTTCATGAAAGGTTTTAATAGGACTGGGAGTTCTATCCAAATTTTTTTTTTTCCGAACCTTAGAATATTCGATACATACATATCTGATTTAAAAGAGCCGAACATCAGCAAAGTTAGGTTAGTTTATAATGGCTGACCTTACGTGTACCTCACAGCCGACCCATGAAACAGTGCTTCCACGCAATGTTAAAGAGCATCGCCGTTCCTTTAGCGAATATTAGTAGACACTTTGGTCCTTTGTCGATTGCTGAATGCAGGCCCTGCAGCTGTGCATTGTCGAGTAAAGTGAAATCAGTAAGATTCTTGTCGTATGAGCTACACATAATATTTGTAAGTTTGCAACCATGATTCCTTATCCAAAGCCTATCTGCTTGGCGGTATATGAGAAGATCTTGTGATCTTTTGATTTCCGGAAAAGGAATTGGTATATTCGTGAGTAGTGAGGCGTCTAAGAGGACACCCTCCTAAGCTAGCTTGTCTGCTCACTCATTACTTTTCGCACACTTATGTCGTGGGACCCAATATATGTAGACGGTTTTAGCCGCTGCTAGGCTTTTTATAGTCTCCTTACAGTCCGTAACGTGATCGAATTGGTATTATATGAAATTAGAGCCTTGATACCGCCTGACTATCTATGTAAAAGTTTATCCGCTCGCTTGTCAGAGTAATATCATGTAGTAACTCTGTCATTTTCTTTATTGCAAAAACCTCGGCTTAATTGATATTGCAATAATCCGATAGCTTAAAGGACCTACTCCTACGTCCATTTTAGAGCTGTCTAGTGTAGATGTGCGTTGCGTTCCCTTTCAACTACACACCCTTACGCCAACCGTCAACTCACTTTGTAGCCTCCAGAGACCTTTCGAAAGTCAGACGAGGGATCACCGTAGTCTATTACAAAATGCGTGCTCGTATGCTAGGCAGACTTTAATGTCTTTCCAATGCCACAGAATAATACTGAGGGGTATACAATGTTGAGTTACCAGATAAAGAAAATAAGAATCAAGCATGGACTACGTAGGAAGGGAGGCGGGATTTACGTGTCTATAATGATAGCCGAACTGCACTCAAAGACATTGGCACTCCTCTAACTGTTGCCCAACTAGTGCGGAATGAATACGCCACTAAATGATTTTACAAAACATAACAAAAATTTTTTACCCTTGTGTGCCCAGTCACTACACACAAGTTCAAGCTTTTGCTTGAAATTGCTTATCTTGCTTATTCAGAGTTTCCCCGTGCAGTGACACACAATACGAGTGAAGGCCGGTGAGCAACCAGTCATTAGTAGCTGGATACCTCAGACACTTAGACAGGATTTGTACTTATGTGACGGATATTGCTAGCAAAGGATTATACCGCCTTTGCCCTAATAGCAGCTATTAACGCTAGGTTGGAGTACTACATTAACAGCCACGTAGTTCCATTCTCTATATAACTCACCAGCAGACCCTCATCCACCAAGCCTTCGACCTATACATATAATGACTAGTGAATTCGTCTTAAATGACAGATATGGGTCATGTAGTCAATCCACTTGGATAAAGTTGACGCTATACTACTGTGCCGTAGGATCCTGCACTCAAACTGCCTTAGCATTAAGCCTGATGTCAGTTTTACTCTAAATTCTTGGCGGACTGTTCCGCCGGTCATGCCTCTAATGGATATCCTATATACATACTACACTTTCTATACTTTTAGGAAATGTTTTCTTCTCCATTGCTGTCCACAAAACCAATACCCCATGGAACAGTAACGGCTTGCCTATCGTCGTGAAGATATATTGAGAAAGAGAAGGCGATAAGCCCCAGGTACAGCCCAGCATATTTTTGCATACATAAAATGCCATTGAGGCCTTCTTCGCGCTCTACTCCCCTGTGAGGCGCCACGGCAGTTGGCTATCGTGTATTATTCCAAGGTACTTGGGGTTTTACTTAAGCTGGAGAGTCCCAACCTTCCAGCTTAGCCTTAGACCAGATATGAATGTTGTATTTTCTGTTGCAGAGTACTAAATCTATCTTTTCTGCGTTGATGCAATGTGGTTCGTGATTCTTCGCCACAAACTACTTGAGAAGCAGAAATACAATACTTAAAAGGAAAGGTATGGCGTCATATTTTATGAGCTCCTAAATACTAAGGTATCAAACAATCAGCTAAGGAACATCAGTTCTATAGCCCTGTTCCAGGTACTTCACGATTTGCAGGTTTTACAGGATTTACAGGAAAAGCTGTTTTCGTCATTAATAAACCTAATGGAAAAGTTGGCGGCCGTGAAGGACTTCCTGTAAAAACCTGCTAATATTGAAGCACCTGGAACGCAACTTATGTGTCTAAACAAGAATAATGTGCAAATATGTATAATTCGGGCAATACATTCATGCATTTAACTAAATACATACATACGTATATAGAGTACATATATCTGTTTCTATTGCAATATTAGGCATAAAGCGACAGAGGGTCTACTACTATTTAATATGCTCCAGTTTAAACTCAATACTCAATTATGCACAAATTATATTTAATATTCTATTACTAGTTTCTTAATCAACAGCCGACATCAGCCATAAATAATGAAAGTAAGTTTTAATTGCAAATTCGAGAAAGTTATTTATGTTCATCGCATATCGCGTTAAATTCCATCAAATAAGCAATGCCAATTAATTTTATACATAACATTCAACAATTGTATTTGTCTGAGTATTCAAATTGCATTTTATATTAGCACAACATTAAGGGGATCGATTGGTAAGTAGCGTAGATAAGGGAGATATAGACCACTTATAATCATCTTCGAAGAAGTCGCATAAACTTCACTTGTATGACTAGCCCCGCATCTGGAATAAGGGAGCTTTCTCAATGAACAGGTAGTTAATACAATCGATAATATGCTACCAGAAACTAAGCGACGTCAAGAACTCATATCCTCTAAAGGTTCAAGTAATTTACGATGGTCAAGTTATGCTATCTATACGGTATTAGAACAGAAGCCCTTAGGACGTGCAACGCCTATACAACTTCTATCAACACATCTACTCTGAACAGAAAGCTATGCTTCCGGCTAAAATAGCAAATGGATTCCTTAAAGAGGAACAGACATCAGAAACCTCACTGGTCCTCACTCTTCGACAACTGTCTTGACATAAAACTCGTGGTAATCTGCGATGTAGCTATAAAAGTCCACAGGAGGTAGTTTGCAATTGCAATCGTGAGAATGATCACTTATTTGGTGAAGGTTCAGTGAAATCTTGAAATTATGGACATGGAATTCCGGTAGGAGAGATTTCCCTTTCGCTCGGCACTCGCTGAGTGTACTTACAATGGGCAGCTTTGGGTCCGGGTGAAAGTACGGAAACTGTCTGTCCACACTAGACCGTACCAGAAAAAAAAGGTCGCCGTACACCCCTGAGTGTAAAGAATTTTTGCAAAACAATTTCGAATTTATTTTTTGAGCAAATGTTGGAGTCGTGTTATTAAATTTTTCATCACATCTTCGGCGTTTACAGTGAATTCTTTAAGTGTGATATATTACACACCAGATATCAGTTCCTCTCACCCTAACATACCGCCCTAATGTCAGTAAATTAAAGCTCGCCTAAAATGATTAAACTTTTGTTAAGGAAGTTTTCCGATTCCTCCAGTAGAACTATTTGAAAAAATGTTTATTGCCGAATGTAGGCGTCACGGAAAAATGTAAAAAGGCGGCTCTTATATTCAGCGAAATTATCGAAATTACCTTGCAAAAATACTGTAGATTCGGGAGTATATATATATATTTTTTTTTTTTTTTGTAAAGTGGTGCGGTCTAACCCTTCTAAAATAATCTGATTTAAGCTTTGATTATGAAAAGTTATTACGCGGAAAAAACAAATACGTGGCAATATGGTTGTTAATGCCAGCCTAATAATAATAATAAAAATTAAATTTACAATTCAGTCTATAGCATTAAGTTGGTTTATATAGTATATATTAAAATTTTTCGATTAGGTACTCACCTATCCACAACCATTGCCGCGAATTTCCAGTCGCTTATCAGTTCCGCCTCATCGTCGGATTTGCGCATGCGCGACGTTATGAATTGCAATTCTTTAAGAATCAAATGCAAATCTTTATGATTGCAACCTATTGTATTGTGATGCTCCTCCACCGTTGTGGGGCGACCGAAGCTTCTGTGAAATGAAATAAATAAATATGCATTGTATTAAAGACAATTATTTCTGAAATAAAATTTGTGTATGTAGTTTTCTGAACAAGACCTGGTAGGTATTATAGCATATCATGCTCTTTAAAATTTGCAAATTTCCTTCTTAGCTTTTTTTGTTACTTACGCTGATGAACCGATCGCCGTTTGTGAACCGGAGATCGTATGCCGGAAATCATCATCGATATCCAGCACATTGGCTAGTAGTGATTTGGAAGAACGTTCCTTTAATTCCAATTCCTTCATGCGATTGCTTAGTAATATTGTTTTTCGTGTGATCTTACGGCCGGGGCGACCCATACGTAAAATCCATGGCAGCCATTGCAGGAAAACGGATTTAATCTAATGGAAGATGGCAAATTTAATAAAGGAAACAAATATTTTAAGCAAAGTAGCTATCGTAAAGAAAATAAGAATAAAAGCTTCACATGAAAGCGGCAGCAATCTTTCACACATTTCAAAGCAACAGTAAAGAAAACAAAAACATCCACTTAAAAGCTCCGTTAAGCTTTGACGCAAGTGCTTTGAGCTTTCACACATTTTTTACTGCACTTGTTTTTTTGTTTTCCCTCGTTTATTCTACTCACCCATGGCGGCATTTCGTGTATATCCGCCGTGCGGTGATGATAGTTGAGCACAACAACCGTCAGCACCACCGATGATGCCACCATAAACATGATGCAATTGAAATATGTGCCTGATTTTATGGTGCATCGATTTCCAACGGAGTTTGAGTTTGTCGGTAAAGTGTGTGTTTTTTTTTTAAATTAAATTTGTATAAGGGAAAAATTAAAAATAAAAGGGGAAAAATTCGATTAGTAACTATTTAAAAAGCTTAAATTTATTGACATTGATTAAATTAATTAATGTTATACAAAATACATAAAGTAACTTTTTTATATTCTATTTAAGGTGTATTTATTTTTAAATATTTAAATATAGACAGGTTTAAGTAAGTGTAATATATATTTAATTTAATTTAATTCATACAAGTGAGTTAGTTAATGGTTATATAGATATGTATAATAAAGAGTTACTATAAAGAGTAATAAGTAGTAATTTGTAGATACTATGTTGGTATAAATTAATTTGCTATTAATGATAGTAAGGGTTAGTATATGTATGTATATTGTTGTGAAAAAGTTGAATAAAGGGTGTCTGATAGAACTTTTGCGAACACACACATTTTTAATTTTAAAGAGCTGGCATGCATGTATTAAGAGGACACTATTTTGAATAAAGTGATTTAATCAAGGCACATGCAAAGAAGTAATTTTAAATAAAATATAAAAAAATAACTCGAAAAATGTAATTCATAAAAAAAAATTTGCGCATGCAGTCCCTACGCGCGGTAGAAGTGAAACTTTATAGAAAATATTTTATGCATATTAGGGTGCATCACCGAAAAAAAGTTGCGCTTTTTCCGCCGGAATTATAAAATTTGTTATATTTTAAGACTTTCGCCAAAATAATTCGGAAAAATATTAAGATTTACGTGAGCTGGACCGATTTGAAAATACCTCCCGAAATCTCATTATTTTGATACTCTTAATGAAGTTTTTAAA